AAGCTGCCCTGCTGCCCTCTCCATGGATGGTGCCAGCCCACAAAGCAAACGACTGCAGCACTGTTGAGAAGGTGCCAGGTGCCCCAAAACAGCTGTATTCTCCTCAAGCCGCCTCAGCTCCGGCAAAGGTGGCCCTGGCTGACCACATCAGGAAACAAGACAATGCCATTTTGAAGACTGGAACAGAAACTGTCACTTAAACACAAACCAACCAACCTGCTTAAGCAGCAGATGTTCTACACAGCTCGGCACTGACCCTGTCAACAACAGCCAAAACAAGGATCTTCCTGCCTTAACCTGCCCTCCTTCCTGGGAAGCTGCCCGGCTCACATCACACTGCCCACCTGCAGCTGAGGGACAAACCTGCTCCCTGTCCCCAGGCATCCCTTGTGCCATGGCCAAAGGCCCAGCTCCCAGACAGGGCAGGGAACATGGACCCAAGGAGGAGAGCTGCTGAGTGCTGCAACCCCCAACATCCTGGCAAAGTCTGGCCATCAACACCACACGTCATGACTGAAAAGGGCACAAACTCAAGCGCAACACCCAAAGCACTCCAGCCCCTCCTGCCACAGCTGGAGCTGGGGGACTTCCTCCAGCTCCACCAGTGGAGAAGCACTGCTTGTAAGTGTGGGGGGTTCAGAGGATCCATGGCAGAAGAGGAGCAGCTGGGAACCAGGGCAGCAGAGCTGGGTGTGCAGCGTCACCCACCCGTGACGTTCTGCTCCCAGAGAGGCTCCTGGCTGACAGCTGCCGGAGCTCTGTGTGAGGAAACACCAGGCAACAAGGGGCTGAGCCCACCACCCCTCCACCCTGGGGAGTGTGGGTGCTGCAGGCTGGGCAGGTGATGCCCTGCTCTGGGATATACCCAGCTACAAAAGTGCTCACAATGCTCCACACACCTCCTCCTCGTGCTGAAACACCACTAGTGGGTACAAAACAGGAGTAACAAAAGAACCCCTTCTTATTTTGTAGAGACGTGCTTAAGAAATTCTGTACAAGGATCGCTACGGCAGTTGGCTCTGGGGGGGGGGGGGGAATGACACAAACAGTCTGGAAGCAGCAACACCATGTGACATGGCGTGCAGGGAAGAGGCCAAGGAGAAACTTCTCCAACTGAAAGCAGTGGCAGGAGGTGAAACCTGATCACAGTGGACATGAGCTTCAAAACATTTCTACCAATTAACAATGTGATTTCAACTGGTATCTGATGTCAGCTTCCCCTTCAGTTGCCTGCTGGACAAGCTGTTCTCCCCATGGACCTTACTGACAGACATCTGAAGCAGGCAGGAAGTTCCAGGACCTTGTCTGGTGGAGGCAAAGCATAAACTCTTGCTTTTTGGCAACTGAATAAAAGGAGAAATGATTTCCACAAACTCAGTCAGAAGAACAGCCCTTTGACCACTGGCTGAATCATTTCTCGATGTGACAGTGGCACAAATCCATGCGATAAAAGCATTCCTAAGAGAGTCTCCAAAGCTCTCGGCTGTCATTTTTTTTTATGCCACAGGCCAGGTTAGGCACTTGGATGAATTCAAAGTCACTAATACAGAAATAAGTCTGAACAACCTGCATACAGCACTCCCAGCAGAAATCACAGCACTCCAGGCAAAGGATTCCTATGTGCCCTGCAGATAAGAGCTGTGCAGATCCCTGGAAGGCAAGTGCCACTCTGCTGTCACAGAGTAACACGGGGCAGAAGGGACCCCTGGAACGAGATCTCCGCTTAGATCAGGCCTTACATAGGTCTGGTTTGATCAAAGCCCTCATCTTTCCAAACACCAGCCAGCACAGTCCCTTCTGCAGCCTCCTGCACATCAGTCAAAGGCCCAGGATACCAGAAGCACCCGCCCCAGCCACAAGATGCAGGACAGCAGAGCCGACCACCAAGAGGCTGTGGGCACCGCGTCTGCCAGCTCTGGGTTACCTGGGAACAGCCGACAGGCAGCAGCTGCTGACACTGGCATCAGGGGCTGCAAAGCCCCTTTCTGAAGGATGCACTGCAGTCCTACTAGCCAAGTTCCCAAATCACCTGCGAGGGGGAAGTGGAGACACGAAGGCAAAGAACCGAGGTTCAGCGATGCACAGGAGCTCAGGGGCCTGTGGTCTGTCACAGATGTGCACAGGAGCTGACAGAGACCAGGCTGATGATGGGCAAGTCCCTGAGCACAGAGCCATGGGCTGCTCACTTTCCCAGCAAGACCCTCAGTGACACAGAAGTGTTTTTAATGCTTGCCTCTCCCTGTGGAGCAGAAGACCTCTTGCTGCGGCCTGGGAAGGACACCAGGTGATCTGACACCAGTGAGAATTCACAGAACTCAGCTCAGTGCACGGAAAGGCACGAGAGAGCTAAGGCAGCATGTTCTGCTGGATGTGTTAAGCAACAGTATAAGCCAAGTCCTTGACTGGCAAAGACCCAAGCTGTGAAAGACAAGAGGTGACAGAGAAGAGTGGGAAGCCGGGCAGCAGAGCAGCTGGGGGACAGTGAAGAGGAGAGATGTGGCCTGATAAGCTGGGCTCAGGTGCTCAGCTTCCTGATCAGGCTGGAGGAAAAGCAACCTCCACCTGAATTCAGCCTTGTTGATGCATGGTTGTTTTTCCCACTGGAGGCGTGACACTCAGCTGGGATGTCTGCACAGCATGAAGAGGCTCCAGAAGCAGCTCTCAGTGCCCTTATATGGGGCTGGGAACAGGGGAAGCCACTGAGCAGCCTGTCAGACAGCTATACCACAGGCAGTTCAGAGCCCTCCTCGGGAAAACAGCCAAAAAGAGAAACTCCAGTGCAAGACTTCAGGACCTGGCATTTGAGAGCGTGGGAATGAGAAAGGTCTGAGGGATGGGAACAAAAGGGACAAAGTAATTTTTAGCCAGTTAACAGTGATGGAAGGTCTCTGTTCATCCAGTCAGGAGAGGGTACTTTCTGCCAGGGCATTTTAAAACACAGAAGAAAATATTTCCTCCTAGTCCTCTGCAGCCAACCAGCGGCATTCGCAGGTCAGTCTCAAACACTGCAAGTGACAATCTCCAACAGCAGCTCGGACAGGCACACTGACCCACAGATCCTGCCTGTGCAACTCAGAGCCTGTCAGCAGCCCCTGAGGGAGGACCTCCACCCCCTCTACCTGGGTGAGGGGGAAGAACCCTAGCTGCACCTCAGGATGTGCAGCTTCCCCGCCCTCTCACTTGCTCATGAACCTCCTCACTCCTCTCCATGCCACTGTTTTCCTCTCTGAGCCAGGAATCAGACCTTGACCCCTTTTACAAAGTGCTGAAATCCAGCCAGGTGCTAAGGAGGGGCTGAAATGTAAGGAGCTGGGACTTCCCAGGGAGTTCATCCCTTCAGCCAACGTCCACAGAGATTACTAGGTCAGATAACTGGTATTTTGAGCTGGTGAGAGAATGAGTGGATTACCAGTCCACTGCTGCAGAGATCTGAATGTAGGGCAGAGTACAGAGCTGGGCACGAGCCTGGGCTGACGCTGCTCCTGCTCCCGCTCCCCGAGCCACCAGGACCTCCTTTTGCAGTATCACAATGCAGATCCTCTCCTTGGAGCCTGTCCCTCCCAGGCAACAGTGGCAGCACCGAGGCAGTGTTTCTCCTGGAGCTTGTGGATCCTTCCCCATGGAGGGCAGACCCAGCACACTGCCTGTTTGCAGGGCCCACGGTGGCTCCCGTGCCTCCCGGGGACACGCAGAGCCTGCGCCCCGGCAGCTCTCGCACCTGCCACACACCTTCTCACAACATCCCAGACAGCACAGCAAAGCTGTCACCCCTCGCAACACGGCGCCCATCTCTCCTCCTACTGCCTCACCCCCACACACCAACAGAAAGAAACTCTTTACAGCTAAGTGCTGGCACACATCCCTTCAAACCCTCTGCTCCTCTGCTTTACTGTAGGCTCCAATATCCCACTGACGTCTGGGACCAAGAAAATGTATCTTATACATTCAAACACAGCCTGTCTCTTCTCCACCAGCACCTAGAACCTGCTCCTAAAACACCCAGCAACAGCTAAGCAGTTCCATGGTGGGTAGGACACTTCATGCAGTTCTTACTAACAACTCCAGCCCTGTGGCTCTACCAGTCACAGTTCCTGTTCTGTGTTTGCACCTGGGGTACAGGAGAGCAGAGCAACACTGGGTGCTGAGGAGGAACTGCTCTTTGGAGTCAAACCCCTACCATGAGCTCAGAGCTTCTGCTACCAACAACCAGGGGAGACACCTGGAGACATCAGGCAGACTTGCAGGCACAGCCCCAGAACATTCCCTTGCTCTTACAGAGAGGTAATACCGAAAATTTGATTAAAATTACAGTCAACTATGAGCTGGTAATTCTCCAAAGTGCTTGGCATTTCTGGACACAAACAAGTGGCTACAACTGCCTGCCTCTGAGCTGCTCAAGAGAACAGGCTGTCACAACACTGAATCACAGAGAAATCCTGGCACCTTTCAACAAAAGACTGGCTGAAGGGGGAAGAGGAACAAAAGCTATCAAACCCAATCCCAGAGGGATGGTGGAAGTGCACCTGCCCAGCGTTCCTGGGCCATATGCACATATATGGATATATAGATATATAGATAATAAAGTTATAAAATTTGAACAAAATAAAACCAGTAAATGTACAGCTTGAAAAAAGAGCATTATCACAGTGCATCAATGTCATGAGAAAGTCCTGTGTTCTCCCCCTGCAGGAGAGCTCAGCCTGCGGCGTTCGGAAGCACGCAGTCGGGAAGTGAGCCCCCCCACCCTGGCCCTATCCTGCTGGATTCCCAGCTGGAGAGAGGCCCTGTCCCTCCTCCCCCAAGACGGTTTTGTGTTTCTGCAGTCAGTTCTGCACAGCAGTGGCAGACAGGCAGAGCAGGCTGCTCTGTCTGCAGGTTGGTCGACTTACTGTCACCAGGCACCAGAGATGCAGAGTCGCTCCCAAAGTTCTCTGTGCTCTGGTGCCAAGCTTGGATTTTACTTACTTACCAAAAAAAAAAAAGTGACAAAGTGACAAAACTCAGGGAACGTTGTGAGAGTGGGACAAGGGCTGAATCCGGATCACAGGGGATAGGTTGACTCTAAGAATCTTCTGTGCTCTCCTCCTCACTTCATCATCAGAAGAAGAGCTGCCCACCTTGATGGCCCGGAATTTCAGCAGGTTCAAAGTGCTCTGAGCCTGTCGAGATTTGTTTCGGGCAGGAATGGTATTTGCTTTCTTCCTCTGTGGTGCTTCTCTTACCTCTGTAGCTCCTCTCCTCTTCTGCCCAATACTCTCCCGGTAAGTGCTGCTGCCTTTCCACTCTGTTTTTCTCACCAGAGGTGCCTTATCTATAATTTTCAAGGTCTTGGACTGTGGAGCTGTGGCACAGCCCTGAGAGGAGCTGCCTGTGACTCTCCCATTGAGGACTCCTGAGGCTTTGCAGGCATTGCTCTCCTGCAGCACCCCACCCTTTGGTCCCTTCAGAAGGTTTAAAGCTAGGGTGGCAGGATCCGGTGCTGTCTTTATCAAACGCTTGTACCCCTTACCTTCTGTTATTTTAGTGGTCTTGCCTGAAGAAAACTGCCTGGGTGGATTGGAAGCCTTGAGGAGTTTAAGGTCCGAGGCTGAGATTCCAAGACGCCCTCGTGTGTACTTGGACTCCAAACAGGACGTGGTTGTTTTCAGCGGCACCAGAGCATCCAGGACCACCGACAGTCCCATGGCTGGGTACACATCAGGATACATGCCCGCAGGGAAACCCACTGCCGCAGCCTTGGATGTGCCAGACCTTGTCTGCTTCAAGGAGCTCAAGAGGAGATTGGTGGAATCCCCTATGGAGATGGGCTGAGTGGGGACTTTCAGGGAGTTCCCCGAAAGGCTGGTGGGTGAAGGGTCCCCCTTGGCCACGGCTGCTGTGCTCCGAGCGGCCTCGGCGCTGGCGCAGCGCTGCAGGGTACTCTGTTCCCTTGGGCTCGGCGTGTCTGCCGTGCATGAGCTGTACCCATACACATCCTTGCTTCTCAGAATTGTGGGCTGATAGCCCTCCTCCTTCAGGCCCTGGATGAAGGCCACCAGCTGGGTCTCTGTGTCCGAAAGGTCCTTGGACATGGGGTTGAAGACTCGCAGGGCTTCCTCCAGCACTTTCTGTCCTGCAGAGGAAATTCTGGACCAGGAATGGACAGCTTTCTCTTCCGCATTGTTCACTGCAATATTCATGGCATTAGGCAAGCGGGCACTTCAAAAAGGTCCAAATTACTGGAAAAACAACCCTTGACACCTCAAAAGGAGAGAGAAGACAGTTAGCTTACAGCAACTGAAACAACCTTGCATTTTCAAGTGGGGACCTGAAACCATTAAGCCCAGTCATGGCTGCTCACAAACACTGGTTCAGACTCTGGACATAACCCAAGTTAGATGCATCACCAAGAAAATCCCATCACTGACTTCTCCTTGCAGTAAAACCAAAACCTCTCTCGCAGAATTATCCTCAAACCTAAGCAAAGATTTCAGGTAATCCCAACCAACCCATACCAAGATGAAGGGTTCCAATGAAAGGGTTTTCCCAGCGAAATCTGCAGCTCCTTTCCAGTTTCAGTTCAAGATGGCCTGGCCTCTGAGTAACCAAATCCCATTCTCCCTTGGGAAAGCAGACCTTCAATGAACCCTCTCCTTGCACATGATCAAGCCACCTCGATGCTAAGCAGGCCTGAGTACCTCAAATCTATCCCAGCATCACGTTGCATTTTCCAGCTTCCCTAATTGCCTCTGCTCAAAAATGGATTCTGAGTTCCCTGCCAAAGCGGCGCCGTCCTCCCGCAGAGCTGGCAGCAGAGCTGGAGGTTGTTTCAGCTGTTTCATGGAGGCCCGAGGCCGGGAGGCAGCACCGCTCCTTGCCGCCCCCTCGTCTGAACCACAGGCTGCAGCTCCTGCTGTCCCTGCAAACTGGTGTTGATCCAAGGGCTCCGTCTGCCAAGTGAGGAGGAAGCAGGAAATTCAAGCACGGAGGCATGAAGGAAACACACATCAGCGGGGCCAAGGCTGTGCTGGCCCGAGGGAAAACACTGGGATCACACTCAGGGCACTACCCAGCTGTCAGCCCAGGGACAAAGGCACCCGTTATTGCCTTAAATTAAAAATAGGCACTGCAGAGCAGGCCAGGATTTTGGGATGCACTCAGGGAAACTCTGATCCTCCCACACTAAGAGGAGACAAGTGATGAAATCTTTAGCTTCACTGACACCTCTCGAAATAATAGGGAAGATTCAGTGAAAAAACCTTTTCCGGGGAAAGGTGTTGGGGACACCACCAGATGGAGAGGGCAGTGTGCAGGCAGGAAAGCTGGGATGGAAAAGTTAGCACCCGAGTGGAGAGAGCAAGGAACTACTCATGTCTGACGTTCCTCCCACAACTCCGGTGTCACCACAACCCCCGGCCCGGCAGGGAGCAGAGGCAGCCAGAAGCAGCGGCAGAGGGGGAAGCACAGGTCAGCGGGGGGGTAAGAGCCTCCGCATGACAGACTAATCTGAGTCAAGTGTTCTGCGGACGTCACGGCAGAAGGAGGATTTGGAGGAGGATAATGCAGCTGCTGTGTGACAGGCGGGGGATCTCCCCGGGAGGAGGGGAGGCGGGCAGGGCCAGCCGTGATATCTGACACCTCCGAGATGAAGGAGCGGTGAGAGGCACAGCGAGGCCGGCGAGGGTGTAAAGCTTAATCCTGAGCTGGTAGAGAGGGAGAAACCGACAGGGAAGCACAGCTAAGAACATGCTCTCAATAGGCTGCAAAATGGATCATCTTCAAGGCTGCTGCAATTCCCGGGAAACAGCTGGGACACCTTGAGGAACAGTCTGATGTTGAAGGGAGAGGCCATGACATCCCAGTGGGGACGGGACAGCTCAGCATTGCTGCACCTGGTCCTGGTTTGTGCACTGCAAGTTGCAGCAGGAGCAAAACCGGGCACGAGCAGGCGCAGCCCCAGCCTGCCCACCCGGGAGCAGCCTCCTTCACTTGACACGTTCACGGGAGACGGGCCCTGCCTGAAGTGTCGTGGGGACACAGCCCCGCCGTGCTCCTGGTGTAGCTGCACACACACCCAACGCTCCAGCGATGCCAGGCCCGGCCGGAGGAAAGGAGGAAAGGGCTGCGGCGCTTCCCCGGGAGCGCCGGCGGGGCGGTCGGGCTGCTGGCAGGGCCGGGCTGCTGGCAGG